ATAAATTTAATTAGATAATTAATAAATTAAATATTATTTTTTATTTTTTCAAGATTCTTAATCTACATTTTAAATATAGAAATTAACTTTTATTTAAAAACCACTAAAATTAACATCCTTATACTATTGCCATCAATTAAGAAAAGAAATTCATTTTGAAATTTAGAGATACATTGTCAGAAATCGTGAATTTGAATGATATAGCTATCTGTAAAATAAGAAATTTTTTTTTTTTTTGAACGCAGACCATGGCTGCTGTCATCTACCTCTTTCATCATCACTTCTCCAAAACCCATCCATTTTTGTTTTTCCCCAAATCACACAGTCGATATTGATGCTAATCATCACAAGTAGCTGTAGAAAGAGAATCCCTCGAATCCTCTCAATGAAATTGGAGAATGAAACGGAAAGGAAATGCCAAATAAGAGAAAGACGAAACAAGGCGAAAGAAGGGAAAACGACGACAGGAGACCGTGTTTGTTTTTTTTTGTGAGGTTTTTCATGGTCTCACAATCTAAAATGTGTCAGAAGATTATTGGTTCAGAAAACACCCCACGTGGTATAGGCGGGGTATTGTAGACTTTCTTCTAATGTTGTTTCTTTTGTTCACACATCAGGATTCAGGTTCTTCCTTCGATACATCTTCAACCCCAGAAACTGAGAGCTTCAAAGCCATGGATTTGAGTTCTAAGAAGGGAATCCAGAGGTAGAAAGCCACCTCGCCACCGGAAGATCTGCTTCCATAAGAAGTTACCATCCATATTCTATCGAGATTAACCATGGATGCAGAAGAGGAAAGAGAGAAGAAAAGAGTCAAACTTTTAGATGATCCTTCCAACAGAGCGATGGTCCAGAGAGATCTTCATGATCTTCCACTGGATATGCTGCTCGAAATCCTATCAAGACTCCCGATCGTCTCTCTGATCCACTTCAAGACCACTTCCCATGGCGGCTATGATTTAATCGCCGATCCAGGACTCCCTCTGATGTTCCGCAACCGGGTAAACGACTCAAACCCATGTCTGATTCTGTACAACGGCAATTTTGTTGCCTCCGGTCCCTGGCAACTCTATTTTGTGGATAGTGAGGGTTGTAGTCGAAGGGTTAGGAAAATCGACCCACCACATCATTCAGAAGTTGATAATCTGGTGGGTTCTTGTCACGGGCTGTTATGCTTATCCTTAATCGATGGTTCATCGGCGTCTCACAGTCTGCTAATTTACAATCCTTTTGTTGGAGACGCTGTGAGAGTCCCACCAGCGAATCCATTTCCTAATCAAATTGAAGTTTTTGGATTTGGGTTTCATCCGAGGACAGGAGAGTTCAAAGTGATCAGGATTTTGTGGTACAAGAAGATCTTGACATTCGTAGATCCGGCGCTAGATGTGGAAGAAGTGGAAGAAGTGAACGAAGGATTCGCCATCGTTGATAAATTAATGGTTCAGGTGTTTACCGTAGGAACAACAGAGTGGAGAGAGATAGAAGCTACGCCTCCACAATTTAAGCATGTAATCGGACCACCTGAGGCTCTAGTTGAAGGATCTCTCCATTGGGTGCGTGTTGTTGATAGGGGAGGACTCGGTCTTATCTTTGGTATTATCTCCTTCGAGCTTGCAGATGAGGTGTTTGAAGAAATTCCGCACCCACCTTGTCAACAACTTGTGTCACGTGGCTACAGTCTTTCCGTGCTCAGTGGGTATCTATCGGCAGCTGGGTTAGTTGATGCTGGGCATTTTGATATCTGGATGATGAAGCAATACCATGTTGAGGAATCTTGGGTAAAACAATTCTCCTTTGATCCCTATTTTGCTGGTGGATGGCCAAGCTATTCAAAAATATTTCCCGAAGTTATATGCGCACTGAAGAATGGTGAGATTCTGTTGCAGTATGATGACAGTTCTCTGGTTTCTTTTGATCCTGTGGAAAACAGATTCAAGACTCTTCAAATGAGTGGGTTACCCGATGAGTTCCAGGCACTTCCTTTTCTACCTTCCCTTTTCGCGGCAAAAGCAACCATGAATTCGCAAGTTTAAGTTCTCTTTGCAAGACCCTACTACTAGCTTTTAGTTTGTGTTGAATCTTTGATCATCAATGCATCAGTAACATTGAATGGTGATTGAAGATTTTGCTTCAAGCTGGGTGGGAAGATTAGTAAGAGCTTTATGTCCTGAAGCAAGGGAAGATTGTGTTGGAGTGTAACGAGAAAGCTCTGGTTTCTTATGATCCTAGAACCAACAGGTTCAAGGCTCTAAAGATCAACCGGCTCCCGTAGCAGTTCCAAGCTTTTGCTTTCCAGTATACTCTGTTCTCAGTAAAGGAAACCTTTGAAATAATCTTCACAACCCTTCTTTAGTATACGGATATATAATTTCGCCTGCTTTGGTCAGGCTTCTATTGTTTCTATATTGATTAATTAATCATGTTTTGTAGTTACTAGAAGTTGTGACTCACTCACATCAAATAGAATACTGATAGGTTTCACTCTATAATACTGTTCTTAAGAAATTGACGATTTGATGATATGATTTGTCAAATTCGGGGGGTACTTGGCTATTCTCATCATAAAAAGTATAATTAAAGATTTTAATTTATTAATTAATAAATATTAATTATTTTATTAATTATTAATTATTAATTTAAATTATTAGTATTTTTATCAATCAAATTAAAAAAAATTAATATTTTAAAATAATATATTACCATTTTTGGTGGCTAACATTTTGACACGTGCCAATAACCCTGCCCCCATTGCACCGATATTTCAGGTTTCCATCAACTGTATATGTATAATTATGTTTCTCTCGTGAAGAAATCGTTAAATTGGCAAGTGATTTATACTCATTTACCAAAATGGACCTTTTTCTTTCTTTTCTTTTTCCACGTGGCTTAATTTACCAGATTTATGCAAGCAAAAAAAAGAGGAAAAGCGAAGAGAATGGTGGAAGAAGAGAGAAAAAGTAGAAAATAGAACAAATTATAAAACTTATAATATTATATATCATTATAATTATATTATTTTTAAGTTAAATAATAAAAAAAAAGAAAGGTCCGTCATCGTGAATGAGAGAGATTTAGTTCAAATAAAATTTATTAATGAAAGGACAAACTCATGAGTTCCACACTTTATCTTGGTGGTAGATATTATCCCATATCTTCTGCTCCATCCCTGCTTTGTAAGTATGTTCATGTTAGTTATTATATTCTAAATTAAGTTCTATGAGAATTAGGACACATGAAGATATTTTAAAAGAGTTATATCAATATTAAATATGTTAAATCCCACTAAAACTAAAATACCCAAACACCAACTCAAGTAGAATTTTAATCATAGAGTGATTCTATGTAATATTCTATAAATACCCCAATGTTAAACCTAAGAGGAGGATTATTTTTCTTTATTCTCTCTCTATTGTAAGCTCTCTCCATTATTTATCAATAAAATACTTGGTTCCACACCATCTTTTCTATTTTTTAATGTTAACAGTTGGCACCAACCATGGGGCTGAGTTTTTTTTTTATCTACAAATACCATACGATGAATCTTGTCAATGAAAATTCACTGTAGCTGTACATGGATGCTCCAAGTTTTGGAAACAATGGAGAAACAAGTGGTTTTTCTTCCTCTCAAATGAATTTCGGAGAGGTGCCAAATGAAGCAATACTAAGAGATCCGTCGTTGGCATCACAAGTCAACAGGCATGAGCAAGATATGGTAGATACAAGGCACAATTTGAGAGCAATCAAGCAAGCTACAACTTCTTTAATGGATGCTGTAAATATTTTAACGCAACACAAGTTCAACACAAGTGCATTAGAAACAAGAAGAGTCACAGAGGATTACATCACCTTCAACTAGGTGGGCTCACAGCTTTTTTTGGAAACGCGAGATTCAATGTTAGAAAGTAGTGATTATGATGGTTGAAGCTATAAACATTCTAGACCAACGGAGCATACTATTGATATAGGAACAGTTGTACCATGGATATATGGCATAACCTCTATACAAAAACACCCAATAAGCAGAAGCATGTAGGTTTTGTAATGATAATATATATAAAAATAGATGTGCAATATTAATATATAGAAAGGTAAAGGCGATTTGACAGAGGAATCTGGGGGTGACATACACAGTTTTGGTGGAAAAAGCTTTCGTTGAAGAAGTTATCAAAGAACCTATGCCATCACACTTCAAAGCTTCGCAGTTGGCAAAATACTGCAGAACACAGAATCTGGTGGAACATGTGCAAGTATCCAAGGTGGCAATGATGGTCTACGGAGCTTCTTTTGCACAAAAAGTCTCTAGCAACTTCAAATAAAGCTGTGTAGGCCTGGTCCATGACATTGTCAAATAGCTTGTTTTCACAATGAAGCAATGTAGATTAAAAATTTAGATCACGGAGTTGCGACGCATAGATTCTACAATCTTTACATAAATGTGAGCCAACTAGCTTTAGTGATTTGTTGAAAAAGTAGAAGGATATGTTTGAATAGAGGAAAGATCTGCAAGTAAAGAAGCATAAGAGAAAAAGCTATGAGAAGACCAAGCCTAGTGGAAGAAAACACATGTTAATTGTCGGAATTCTTAAAGCACCACTGTTTGCATAACTCTATATCATTTAACAAAAAGCTACACAGGAATGAATTAATAACTTACCAGATAAGTTTCATATCTCTTTTACAATATTTAAATAATTATTTTCATATATTAATCAATTATGATTTTGAAAACACTAACAATTTTCTCATGTCTGTAAACTAATTAAGATAGCAAAATCTATGTAACTTGTTTCTACTTTGAACCTGTATAGGAGAAAATCTTAAATAATATAATACATGGATGATTACCTACTGCAAAAGGAGTATTTGTTTGTAGCACTTTCCAATTTGGAGTCATGAACTCATGATGCGCCTAATAAATAAACATGTGCTTGCGAGAGATGTATAGACAAACATCTACCACATGCAAGAATGTACTGGATATCAAAATTCAATACATTTTTAATTTGTATTATAAAGATATAAGTTAACCTTTATTAAAAAAATCACTAAAATTAACATCCTTATACTATTGTCATCAATTAAGAAAAGAAATTCATTTTGAAATTTACAGATGCATTATTAGAAAGCGTGAATTTGAACGATTTGGCAATATGTAAAATAAGATTTTTTTTTTTTTTTTTTTCGCTCACAATGCCTTTGAACTCAGACCATGGCGGCTGTCATCGACCTCTTTCATCACTTCTTCAAAACCCATCCAATTTTTGCTTTTCCCCAAATCCCACAGTCGATACTGATGCTAATCATCACAAGAAGGTGTAGAAAGAGATTCCCTCGAATCCTCTCAATGAAATTGGAAAATGAAAAGGAAAGGAAATGCCAATAAGAGAAAGAAGAAACAAGGCGAAAGAAGGTAAAAACGATGACAGGAAACGGTGTTAGTTTTTTAGGTGATTCATGGTCTCACAATCTAATATCTGTCAGAACATTATTCGTTCAGAATACATGTATACCCGGGATATTGTAGACTTTCTTCTAATGTTGTTTCTTTTGTTCACACATCAGGATTCAGGTTCTTCCTTCATTATATCTTCAACCCCAGAAACTGAGAGCTTCAAAGCCATGGATTTGAGTTCTAAGAAGGGAATCCAGAGGTAGAAAGCCACCCCGCCACCGGAAGATCTGCTTCCATAAGAAGTTACCATCCATATTCTATCGAGATTAACCATGGATGCCGAAGAGGAAAGAGAGAAGAAAAGAGTCAAACTTGCAGGTGATCCTCTCAACAGAGCGATGGTCCAGAGAGATCTTCATGATCTCCCACTGGATATGCTGCTCGAAATGCTATTAAGACTCCCGATCGCCTCTCTGATCCACTTCAAGACCACTTCCCGTGCCGGCTATGATTTAATCGCCGATCCAGGACTCCCTCTGATGTTCCGCAACCGGGTAAGCGACTCAAACCCATCTCTGATTCTCTTCAACCACAATTTGGTTGGCCCCTGGCCCCGGCAACTCTATTTTGTGGACATTGAGGGTTGTAGTCGAAGGGTTAGGAAAATCGACCCACCACAGCATTCAGAAGTTGATAATCTGGTGAGTTCTTGTAACGGGCTGTTATGCTTATCCTTAATCATGGTTCATCGGCATCTCACAGTCTGCTAATTTGCAATCCTTTTGTTGGAGACGCTGTGAGAGTCCCACCAGCGAATCCATTTCTTAATCAAATTGAAGTTTTTGGATTTGGGTTTCATCCGAGGACAGGAGAGTTCAAAGTGATCAGGATTGTGTGGTACGAGAAGATCTTGACAGTCGTAGACCCGGTGCTAGATGTGGAAGAAGTGGGAGAAGTGGACGAAGGATTCGCCATCGTTGATGAATTAATGGTTCAGGTGTTTACCGTAGGATCAGGAGAGCTACGCCTCCACAATTTGAGGATGTAATCGGACCACCTGAGGCTCCAGTTGAAGGATCTCTCCATTGGGTACGTGTTGTTGAGAGGGGAGCAGGCGGTCCTATCTTTGGTATTATCTCCTTCGAGCTTGCAGATGAGGTGTTCGAAAAAATTCCGCACCCACCTTCTCAACGATTTGTGTCACATCACTACAGTCTTTCCGTGCTCAATGGGTGTCTATCGGCTGCTAGGTTAGTTGATAATTTGCATTTTGATATCTGGGTGATGAAGCAATACCATGTTAAGGAATCTTGGGTAAAACAATTCTCCTTTGATCCCTATTTTGCTGGTGGATGGCCAAGCTTTTTCACAGTTACATGTGCACTGAAAAATGGTGAGATTCTGTTGCAGAATGATGACAGTTCTCTGGTTTCTTATGATCCTGTGGAAAACAGATTCAAGATTCTTCAAATGAGTGGGTTACCCAATTGGTTC